TCTAACTTAATTGCAGCGCAGTCTCTAAATTTCTTGTTCATTAATTTTTAACTACATAAAAGAATAAGAATTAAAAAAATGTGATTTATTTTAGAAAAAAAAAATAGAGGGTAGGGAGCCCACTGGGCATGGTGACACATGCCTTTATTCCCAGCACTTGGGGAGGCAGAGGCAGACTGATCTCTGAGTTCAAGGCCAGCCTAGTCTATGTAGTAAGTTCCACACCAGCTAGGGCTACATGGAGACCCTGTCTCCAAAAGACCAAGAAAAAACAAACAAACAACAACAACAATACATATGGTAGGGCTATAAAGTAGAATAGCAGGTTTCCCCAGAATTTGAGAAATATTGTGACAAGTTTTTAGTTAGGTTAAAGGCATTCATTTAGGAGCCAATGGGTCTGGGTTCTAGCATATTACCATCTGAACAAGTCTCCCAATTTCTACGTATCAGAAGCCCCATCAAAGACTGCAAGGGTTAAATCAGTCATCCTGACTATCTTTTCCAGTTGTTCTATTGTAATGCCATGAAATTAGTGACATGCTTCAGGTTGTTTATAGTTTGGGATTTTAGGACCTGAATATAACATAGACTTAAAATTTCTACTTTAAAAAAAAAATTTATTATTTTTATTTTATGTGTACACGTGTATTGCCTGCATGTAGGTAAGTGCACCTGTGTCATGCAATGCCTGCATCGGACAGAAGAGACTATCAGATCCCCTGGAACTGTAGTTATGGACAGTTGTTAGCTGCCATATAGGTGCTGGGATTCGAACCCCGGTCTTCTGCAAGAACAGTCAAGTGTTCTTAACTGCTGTGCTATCTCTTCAGTCCCCTTAAATTTTCTTTTAAAAGTCTGATTCCTATATATGTATACCATCCCCCTAAATTTGTGCATTTATGTATTTTTCTTCTATTTAGCTGCCTGTTTATTGTTTACAATAGAAATTCCACAAGATGTATTTTTTTTCCTTTTATTTTTTTTCAGCTTCTTTTTTCAGTTTCTCCAAGATTTCTTCTGGAGTTGTAGAGGCCAAGAGCTTTACGACCTTGTCTCGAGATTTACCACCCTAAAGCAAAAAGAAAAAGACACACTCAGCGTCCACATTGGCAGGACAACAGACCTTTGTGTCCCTACCTCAGCCATGTGTTCATGGGGATGTTAGGGATGACCTTTCCTGATAGCTTAGGCATACTCTCCTAGACATCTTTACCTTACTACAAATTTGTATACTCTCCAGGTTTTACCTTTCTACTTTAGTTTTTTGCCTTTTTGAGACATGGTCTCCCTGTAGACCCAGCTGGCCTGGAACTCACTATGTAGACCAGCCTGGCTTCAGACTCGGAGATCTGCCTGCCTCTGCCTCCCAAGTGCTGGGATTAAAGTCGAGCATCACCATGCCCAACTTAGTTTGTTTTTTATAATAAAAGTTTGACATTAAAATTTCAAATAAATGTTTACAGTATTCTCATTTCTATGTCTTTTCTTTATTCTTTGTTTTTGAGACAGGGTCTTATGCAGCCTAAGCTAACTCAAACTCTTTCTGAGGGTGACCTTGAACTCCTGATCCTTTCTACTTCAAGTGCTGGGATTATAGGCACTTCCCACTATGCCTAATATTCAAGTTTCAAGTAGCTTAAATTAAAAATGAAAATAATGTTAAAATACATTCAATATAAACTTTTTATGATATATAAACAAATTGCTCTTTTTAATAATCACATAATCAGAAGAAGCATTTCACTACAACAGCATTGACATATTCAATAACAATTTCCAGAGCAAAGATGCAGCTCTTTCAAAATTGGCTATAAATTTTTAGGTTCGCAGTTGAGTTAAACAGTTATACAGTATTGTATTCAATATAAACCCTATAAGACATAAAACTGAATGAGGTTTTAACTTTTAAAAAAGATCCCCATTTCATTTTAAAATATACTGTTTCATATAGAAAAACTCATTTTTAATCCTTCTAACACTTAGATGTTTGTACATGCGTCTCTCATCTCTGATTATTGCTAGTCACAGTCAGTTACTTTCTGAGATCCCTGGCACCTGAGCATGGATATAAAATCATCAGGTAGATTTCAATGGTAATGTTTTTCACATCTACTAATGAACATGAAGTAAATTTTTATTTCCTCAAATATAACTCATTTTTATTGATTTTTGTGTGTGTGTGTGTGTATTTCATATAGAACATCCCAAACAATTTTATTCATCTATATACCCATGTCCAAATGGCACCCTCCCATAACCTCCCCTGCACCCACTGGAGCCCATATACTCTGTCATCCCTGTTATTGTCCACTGTGCTGTCAGTGCCCCCAGGCAATCCCCAGTGCTTGTCCAGTGCTGGGTTACTGTCTGGGAGTCTCTTGGGGCACCCTGGCCAACAACTCAAAGGAAGGTATCTCCTATCTGGCATTGTTTCTTGTTATGTAGCCTTTAGTTACACACATGGACTCTTAAAGAATTATATTGATCCCTTTAATCTTTGGTTATACTTTCCTTTTGGGTGTTTAAGACAATATAGTTGGCCCAGATAAACCATTTTATTTTTACTCTCAAGGTCATTTGAGGCTCTGTTCCTCAGGGGTCACATGGGCTTAGAAGGAGCCCCTGGCTCCTTTCTTTTACCAGTTCCATCTATGTGAAGACAAGTTAAAGGCCCCGCTCAACTGTGGCTGGCTTCACTTGGAAGTATGGAGGAAATGTTTCCTCTGTGTTGACCCTCCTCTTTGTAGACTGGACACTGGTTCAAGTCCATCTGGTGGGGTCTCCATGGCCTCCTTGATCAAGAGGACAGGTGACTTACCACAGTTACAGGACATTTTGAGAGATGCTCCATAGACCCCTGGAGCTTAGTCGACCTTGGAGGGCAAGAAGCAAAAACTGTCCTTTAAGGCCCTCTGACCAATTGGTATAGGTCTCAAAGTATGGCTGTTAAACAGCCAAGAAGATTAGTTCCACCAGTCTGGTACTTTTAATTACCATGTGCTATTATGTAGATAAAGCTTGGGCAAAGAACAAAGGTTCTCAGATAAACCTTGCCTAGACATATATTATGCTCCTTGAGCTAGTTGTATGTATAATTTGTCAGTAGGTTGTTGGACTAATATGGTCCCCCCTTTTTTTTTTTTTTTAATTAGCTAGGCATCTCATTGTTCAACCCTTCTACCATGATTTCCCCATTTACGGTGCCCCCATTTTTCCCATAATAATACCCTTCTCCTATGGTCCCATCTCCCTTGAGCTCTTTCTTTCCCTTTATCCCCAAATTGCTCTTTTCTATAGTATTACATTTCTGAAAATTTCAAAAAAAAAAAAAATCACATATCCAAGTGCTGTGATTTCACAATCACTTAAAACAACTTTAAAGGGGCTAAAGAGAGCCAGGCCTAGTGGCACATGCCTTTAATCCCAGCACTTGAGAGGCAGAGGCAGGAGGATATCTGTGAGTTCAAGGCCACCCTGGTCTACATAGTGAGTTTTAGGCCAGCTGGGGCTACAGGGAGACCCTGTCTCAAGACTCAGCACTTAAGAGCACTTAGTGCTTTTGCAGAGAACCTGGGTTAGGTTCCTAGTACCCAAGCACCCATGTGGTGGCTCACAACTATCTGTAACTGCAGTTCTTTGGGATCTGACACCCTCTTCTGGCTTCTGTGGATAATGCCCACACATGGTGCACTTATATACATGCAGGCAAAACACTCATACATAAAATTCTTAAAAAGTTTAAGCAAAAACTTTAAAATGAATTTGTTTTCAAACATCTGTTATAGAAAGTGAAATCTGAGTAGGGAGTTACCTAGATGGACAGCCTTCTGGCTGTCATCAAAACCAGAGCACTGGCAGGTCACATATGACCTGCCACAGGTTGAAGAAGATGAAGTGGATTTTTAAGTGCAGTTTATTACTCAGTGACTTTGAATGACACCCAGATATGGACTAATAGTATAGCTTGGTCTCTCACCTCCAGATCTATTTCAATATGTCTACCAAGACGCCTGAAAACCTGTGTTTATAAATCATTCTTTACTGATTTTGAAGTAAAACCAAGGTATTAACTTCATATAAACTGGCTATCTTCTAATCAGCTTCCCCTAGTGAGCAGAACCAATGTGATCAGAAATACTTGAGCTCACTAATGGAGATGACAACAAGAACAGTTGTAGAATTCTTTCAGTATAGTGATGTCATGAAGGGAGCAAGATTATCTGACAGTGGTTACAGGAATGAATTTATAAAGGAGAAAATACTGTACATTAGTGCAACTAAGGACAGTAAAGTATGAGTAGTCTAGATATGGACAAGGCAATGTGGATGAAGATGACTAGGAAGAAGTCATAGACTCTTGCAATTAAATGTTTTTAAAAACTGGCTTTACAAATTATTTGTTGAAATATTTAATGAATTATGATTGGTATGTAATATGTTTAAAAAGAAAGAGCGAGACTTACCTTATCCAAAACTACATCACTCTTCCTGAGTTCTAAGACCTTGGAAAGATACCGACAAAGCTCAGCGTTCGCCTCTCCCTCAGATGGTGGTGCTGCGATTGCTATGCTTACGGCTTCAGTTGTCAGATCTGGAACGAAAATGGCATGACCTTTATCCTTTCTCCCCTAAGGGAGGAACTGCAAAGTTTACGTGTGTCTGGCACAGTAGATTTTCAATTAACAAATGAAGTAGGTTGGATCTCTTGCACCCAAACCAAAACAAGGCTGAAATGAATGATTAATACTTCAGGGAACCTAAACATAAAAAATAAGACTGTACAGTTACAGAAAATAGACCCACAAAAGAGCAAACCCTATTAACCCAGATGGACCTAGAGTCCTAGGAAGCATCTTGGATTTATTAGGCAACTAGAGATAGCCTTGGTCAAATGGAAGAGCTCTAGGAAAGGAGTTGGAAGAGCTGGGCTTCAGCTCCAGCAAAGTCACCAAGGAAGTGCATGGATGATGCTGCTGTGGATTGCACAAGGGCTCAGGATGTTACATCAGGAAAAGGAGAGCACGGGGCTACATTTCTCTGTTCTGTGACATGCATCTTGAATATTTTAAGAGTCAGTGCATTTAACATATAGCAATTGAACTAATTTTAAGTATATACAAACACACCAAAAGGGTGTTACAAATACTGATAAAAGCCTCACAATAACTTTAGTACTGATATTAGGTGCATTTTACAAGTAAGGCTATTGGAATTAAGTAATGTGCACTGCAGTCCTTTACTGCTAATAGGAGAGAGAAGTATTCAAGGCAGTTTGCAAATGAGCTTGAGCTGATCCTGCATCAGTCACTCAGACATTCCCACATACTTGCATGCTGTGTACAACACATCTATAGACCCCACAAGAATGAGACAGTATGAAACTCTTCTGTTACCATGCCTCATACATGGTTTTTCACATTTTAACATCTTTGAAATCAGACACGTATTATGATAAATGGAAGAGTTTAATCAGTATGATTTGTTTATTAAAAAATAAGGTACATAAATACTCAAGTACCTTGTAGCTGATTCCTTCTTAGATTTGGCTTAGAAAATGCCAGTGGTCAGGTTTGGGGGCACATACCTATAATCCCAGCACTTGGGAGGCTGAAGTAAAAGGGGAGTTTGAGCCCAGCCTGAATTACATAGTCTAATCTTTAAAAAAAAAAAAAAAAAAAAAAAAAAAAGCTAGCCAAGAGATACAAGGTAACATGGCCTTTGGTACACACTAGGCCGACCTAGCACATCACTTCTGGTGTATTATTTTCAAATATAAAAACAATTTGGTATATAAAGCTTTAGAGGTAGAAAAGACCTTCAGATCAATGGTTTTCAAACTTGAACTTCACACAGGAATTACTCAGCCTCAGAGCTCAGGTTTTTCTCCCATTCTTTAGGTTGATGTTTATTGAACTAAAGTACTTCTGCTTTCTCTGGTCAGTGTCTCTAGTTTTTGGAGCAGGAAAAATGGGAGAATAAAGGATGTACACACATTTTCTATCTGTCTTTCTGAAAACACTAGTTTGTTGTTGCTTTGGGACAAGGTCTTGCTTTGTAATCCAGGCTGACCTCAAATTCAAAAACCTCCTGCCTCAGTTCCCAAGTGCTTGGATTACTGGGTACATCTCCAGGCCCATCTCCCCCAAACCACATTTTATTTTGTGTGTATGAGTGTATTGCTTGCATGTATGTAAGTGCACTTGTGTCGTACAATCCCTACAGTCAGAAGAGAGTGTCAGATTCCACTGGAACTGGAGCTAGTTAGCTGTCATGTGGGTGCTGGGAATTGAACCCAGGTCCTCTGCAAGAGCAGCCAATTCTCTCAACCACTAAGTCATCTCTCCAGCCCAAAAACTTGGTATTAAATATTGAGTATTGGCTTTCAATACCTTTTTATGAGAATCTAGAATTGTTTAATAGAGAAGTCTAAATGCAGACATGGGAAATATAGTTTACAGTCACAGGATGAACTGTCAGCTAGGAAGGCAAAGGCAAGACGGAGCAATCCCTTGATTCATGTATGAATCCCATCCAGTGCTCAGATATACCTGTCACAGCATTTTGTTTGGAGCCAGGTTTGGCATGGATGGCTATGGTGACACAACCTTTAGGATCAGTTGCCACAGGCCCTACAGGAAGGCATGGTGTCTTTGGTTCCTTGCTTTGGTTTTGACCCTAAAACAACAACACACAATTTTAGACGTTACACTTTTATTTTGACCCACTTCTCTTCACTAAATTAAGGCTATCATCCATGTCCATAAACTGACCTAAGAATGTTTTTCCTATATCCCTCAAGGCTCAAATCAGCCTCCGATCAACCCCACAAGGTGTTGGTCCTGCCTTGGAGGAAGACCTGACTGGGCCCATACCTTTGTGTTGGTTTCTACTGTCAGCTTTATAATTTCTAGCCTTCAGCACATCTTATATCTTGTGTGGCCTACAGTTGCAAGTGTGTATGTGTGTGTTTGCTGCCTTGGAAGATCTCACTCTGGATACCTTAGTGCTTGTAACTATAGTCTACTGTATCATTCCTATTCAAGATTGGTTACTATTTATTATTAATCTTTGTATCCAATGGGGCCTAAAGCTGGAATCAGGTGGGAGGGTGGTGCAAAAGGAACAACAGTGATTAGCATTTAAACTCCATGCTAACAAATTTTCATTCATTCACTATTTAGGAAATAAGTACCAGTGCAGCATGTACGCAGTAGGTGTGTGAATAAAGATTCATAGTCCTTGCCCTCAACGAAGTAGTGGGAACAAACATAATGACTGTTCAACTATTCACTGTGCCTACCAAGTACACCAGTGAGTACTGCAGAGAGGGAAAAGGGAACCCGGCCGTGGGAGCTGCCAACAGGTGGTGGCACCTGAGCTGGATCTAAGGAGTTGGGAGTTGCTGAGCAAAGACGTGGCTGAGATCAGCTACGGTAAGGAGGCAGAACGCAGTCTTCCAGGAAAGTGCAACCCTAGGAATGGGAAAGCAGGGCGGAGGTCGGCAGGTGGGGCTTGGGCAGCAGGAGCGTTGGGGAACCCGAGGGAATCCGAGGTGTGCGCCGAAAGCCGCAGTCCCCGCGCGGGAACTGAGCAGTCAGGTCCTCCACCCTGCAGGTGCCGCTTCTCTTCCTCAAGTGCAGCCCGTGGCCCACCCTCGACGCCGCGGGACTTGCCACTGGCCTTGTTCGTCGCGCCGGCTTTTTTAGGCATCGCGGCACAGGAAGGGCACCTAGCAATGACCCGAGTGCGGCACACAACTGCAAGCCTGAACATCCCAGTCCGCCAGACACCTGGACAGCGTGCGCAGGAAGCGCCCCGTGCGCCTGCGCTTAGCGGGCGGAAGCGGCCAGGGACCTGCGCATCCCCAGTTCACCGCGAGCGCCGCCTCCCGGCGGGCGGGCGCAATTTCTGATCTTACCCTGCTGAGCTGGGGTGAGATGTGATGAGCCATCTGTCAGATGCTGGGAAACAGTGCCACCTCAGTCTTCTTTCCACCACGGGAAAAGAAAAGTATTGTCGCTTCTCAGGGCTGGAGCAAGAGCAAGGACACGGCCCGCGAGTCAGTAGAATCTCTGCCAGCTTGGCCCGGGTGTGCATTCCACCCGCCGATGGAGCACCTACTTTGCACCCAGTATGGAAGGAGAAGAAATCCACTGTGACGTGTGATAGGACCTACATGAGGTCCTAACTGGAGCAGAGGCAGGGGTCAGTGAAAGCGCTGGGGTTAGGGACTGGCAGTTTCTAATCTGGTCAAAGTGTGGCCAGCAGACAGACACTCTGCAGGAAGAAGTGTCACCCAAAAGGGAGATGGCTTGAACCAGAGTAGTAGTGGTTGGGACGGAGAGCTCATTTTAAGGATTTTGGGGGACTGGAATAGTTAGAGCTGGAGAAATGACCACATGTAGGAACTAATAGTGAAGATGCCCAGGTTTGGGAGTTCGAGATGAGGTTTTAGGTTATGTTAAGTTTGAGGTGACTGAAGACATAGGAGCTACCTGAATGTCTATAACTGAAGCATCAGAGACCTGTGCTGCTTACAGATTCTTGAGACCTCTGAGAATAAATATGACCAAATCCAAGAAAATGGATCAGAGACATGCTCAGAGTGTGCAGATCCCTGAGGTGAGCTCAGGACAGAGCCAGAAGGGCCAGGGAGATATACTACCACAAAACACTTGGCCAAAGGTAGGACTACAGTGTAAGGGCAGCCAAGGGAGGTTGCTTCAAGAGAGTGGTCAACAGTGATGACTACTACAGAGAAATGACAAGGTGTTCAAAGATCTAGAAAATGATTGGTGGTGGTGACCTAGGTGGGGTAGGTTCAGTGGATAAAAGAGGGATTTAGACTTTGCTGTGAAGGGGTAATAGCTATCTAAGGGTCATGAGGCGTGAAGGTATTTTCTTTTTTAAGTGCACTCAAGGTTGACAGGAATGGGCCAGGAGAGGATGCTACACCTCAGGTTTAGAAGCAGGAACTGGTGTTTGACTAGCCAGAGGTGAGGTGTTGAAGGTGAGGACTGAAGAATAGTTACAAGAACAGTGGAAAATGGCAGAGCTATTTACTGAAACTCAGAGGCACTGACAGTCTGATTCAGGTTCAAGTCCAATATACAGCTGTATTTTATTTTTGATGCTGAGTACTTCTGTATTAGTTACTTTTCTGTTTGCTGTGATAAAAACACTGACCAAAGCTGCTTATAGAAGGTAAGGTTTATTTAGCTTCTGGTTCCAGAGGGCCAGAGTTCATCATGGTGGGGAAGCATGGCGGAAGGAGGTGTCTGGAGCAGCAAGCTGAGCAATCACATCTTCAAGCAGGCACAGGAAGCAGAGAGCAACAGGAAATCTGGCAAGGCTTAAGAACTCTCCAAGCCCACCACCCAGGGACATGCTTCCTTCAGCATGGCCATACGTTCTAAGACCTCCTAAAACACCATCACCAACTGGGGACAAAATGTCCAAATACTTGGAGGCTATGGGGGACATTCTCATCCAAACCACCACATACATGCTCTGCCACTGAACTACACCCCAAGTTACATAATTTTAAAGGCCTGGGCTCAGCAATTAGGAAGTTGACCAATAATGCAGAGAATCAGATTGATTTGTGTGTATACGAGAGGACTGAGGTTTACTGAAGGGTTCAAAACCAAAAGTGGAGAAGAGTTTAATAAAAAAGATCAAAGGACTAACTTAACTTGGTAGGGAAGGAAGTCAAAAGGGTTGACTGAGCACAGTGATGTCAATGTTCACTAACAGGTGGAATTGGAGTCTAAATGCTGAAAACAGCTAGCAAAGGTTGTGGTCAGAGAATGGGCTGTCTGAATTTATTATTTCAGAGACATTGGTTCCATATGACAAGGTGTGTGGTGTGGTCACAAGAGAAAACAGCTGAAGCCTTCTTGAACTGAAAAACTAGGAATGAATGGACTGTTTAAAGGGATACTAAGGCCGTTCAGCCTTAAGGCTCAGGCAGAAGTGACCCAGGTGCTAAACCACATTTCTATTGTCATGGGTTAAATCGTCCTATTTCCTTTTGAAGAATTGAGGTACAAAGTGGAATTGTAATTAGGTGAAACCATGACAGCCTCAATTAAGAGACTTGACAACTGGGAGAAACAAAGGGGACACGTGTTGGTGAACTGCTGATGGTGCCTGGCAGGTGGCTAGATGGGTAAGAGGAGAGGCAAAGGGTCGCATAAAGAATCCTTCAACTTTCCCCAGAGGTACCTCCAGAGTAAGTATGAAGACTTCATCACACCAGCCAGAAAGACGAAGAATGCTTAGTTCTATGTGCCATGCCATCATAACTGTGCTCCCACCCAAGTACCTGTCCCTAAAGGGGAAATGAGAGGGTAGAGCTTAAAAAATGCTTAGTAGTGAGGGAAAAAATAGGGACTGTGGTTCAAATGGCAGAAACATTATAAATGTTTGATTCCATTTTTAAATTATTTTTTAAAAATCTTCCTTTAAGCCAGGTGTGGTGGTGCACGCCTTTAATCCCAGCACTCGGGAGGCAGAGGCAGGTAGATCTCTGTGAGTTCAAGGCCAGCCTGGTCTACATAGTGAGTTCCAGGATAGCTGGGGCTACAAGGGAGCCCCTGTCTCAAAAAGACCCCCCCCCAAAAAAATCTTTCTTTAGTCTTAAATGGGCTTACCTAAGAGCTTTGCCAATGGAGGAGAGGGATTTTTTTTTTTTTTTGTCTTTTTGAGGCAGGGTCTCCCTGTAGCTGCAGCTGGCCTGGATTCTCTATGAAGACCAGGCTGGCCTCAAACTCACAGAGATCTGCCTGCTTCTGCCTCCCTAGTGCTTGGATTAAAGGCGGCCATGACACCTGGCTTGGGAGAGGGATTTTTTTTTCAAGTTTATTTTTATTTTTTAGAAGAAGCATTTCATTACCACTTTAACATTCTCAATAACAATTTCCAGAGCAAAGATACATATCTTTCAAAAGTGGCTATAAAATTTTTAGGTTCACAGTTGAAATAATACTTATACAATACTGAACTCAGTATAAACCCTATATGACATAAAATTGAGTTTTTAACCTTTAAAAAAGATCTCCATTTCATTTTAAAATATAGTTTCTTACAGAAAGACATTGTTTTTGCTAATAACAGATGTCGGTGCATGCGTCTGTAATCTGTATGTATCTGATTATTACTAGTCATTGTTGGTTGCACTTGGATCCTTGGCACCTGTGTATGGATATAAAGTCATCAGGTAGATTTCAATGGTAATGTTTATCACCTCTACTAATTAACATGACAAATTTTTATGCTTCCTCCTCAAATATAACTCATTTTTTAAATTTGTTGATTTTTTTGTGTGGCTATCACAGAGAACATCCCAAACCGTCTTATTTATACACCCACTTCCCCGATGGCACCCTCCCATAGCCCCCCCACCTCCACCAGAGCCCTTATACTCTGTCATCCCTGCTACTGTCTGCTGTGTTGTCGGCACCCCCAGATGTACACCAGTACTTGTCCATCCGGTGAATCGAGTCAGCCTATCTAGGGGTCTTTGTTTTAGGAAGGTCAACTGTTCCTCATCTAACAGCAATAAGTTGTCAATGTTCCTTTAGATAAGACTGGGGTCTGCTGTTCATTTTCCCAGTTCTATGCTGGGTTACTGTCTGGGAGTCTCTTGGGCCACCCTGGCCAACAACTCAAAGGAAGGTATCTCCTATCTGGTATTGTTTCTTGTTATGTAGGCTTTAGCTATACATATGGACTTCAAAAAAATTATATTGGCCCCTTTAATCTTTGGTTATACTTTCCTTTTGGGTGTTTAAGGCCATACAGTTGGCCCAGATAAACCATTATCTTACATTATTTTTACTCTTAAGGTCATTCGAGGATCTGTTCCTCAGGGGTCACACAGGCTTGCAAGGAATCCCTGGCTCATTTCTTTTACCAGTTCCATCTATGTGAAGACAAGTCAAAGGT